TCAGGGAAATTGAGCGACTCAGATGCCTGGGCGCCGCTTGTTGAGGCCACAGGAAGGAGGCTCACCCCCCGGCAAAGAAGAGAACACCCAAAATCTGCACCTAGCAGCATAACAAGTTTCCCTAAACCCTAGTTCTAAATCCTAAACCCTAAACCCTAAACCCTAAACCCGGAACCCTAAGCAGCATTCCCTATACAACCTCTCCCGGCAGATGTCTTTGCAGTCAGCCATGGCGACTTTGATCGGGTTCGCTCTGCTACTTCTGTGCCCCGCAAGCGGCCTGGCCGTCGGGCAGAAGCTTGGCTTAGGGTTTTTTTGGTGTTAAGGGTTTAGGGTTTAGTTAGGGTTTAGGGTTTAGGGTTTAGGGTTTAGGGTTTAGGGCTTAGGGTTTAGGGCTTAGGGCTTAGGGTTTAGGGCTTAGGGTTTAGGGTTTAGGGTTTCCTGAACGCCAAAACAGGCCCCTCAGGTGTGTCGCTTTACCTAAGTTCCAGCGGGCTTGCCAAAAGAGGGCAAGCCGTACAACCCTAAAACCCGAAACCCTAGACTCTAAAGCCCGAGAACCTTCAAACCCTAAGCCCTAAAACCCTAAAACCCTAAGCCCTAAAACCCGAAACCCTAGACCCTAGAACCCTAAAACCCTAAGCCCCAAAGCCCCAAAACCCTAAAACTCTAAGCCCTAAAGCCCTAAAACCCTCAACCCTAAACCCTAGAACCCTCAACACGGCACCCAGCACATGGAGCATTTGATGCCCGGGGCGGTTACTCTTCAGTCGCCTTTGGACTCTGAAGTGTCTAAGCCCTGGAAGGGGTTTGGGGTTTAGGGTTTAGGGTTTAGGGTTAGGGGGTATCTCTGGAGCAGCCGAGGAATAACACTCCGGCCACGATGATGACTTGCCCAGGTGGGGCCATCCTCACCACGGAGTGCATGACGGAGGCACCGTTTAGCGTTTAGGGTGCAGGGCCTAGGGTTTAGGGTTTAGGGTTTAGGGTTTAGGGTTTAGGGTTTAGGGTTTAGGGTTTAGGGTTTAGGGTTTAGGGTTTAGGGTTTACGGGCCTTTGGGCACCCCCAAAAAGTACGGCAGCAGTTTCATGAGGGTATTTTTTGGGTTTGGTGTTGAGGTTTAGGGGGTGTAGGGGTTCAGTGTTGGAGGTTTTTGGTGAACCCTAAACCCTAAACCCTACGTACACGCTAAACCCTCAACCCTAAACCGTTTGGGGGGGCATAAGGGTTCGGGGTTTGGGGTTCAGGCCCGGGTTTTTTGGCAGTGTTCACGCCCAAACCCAAGTGAGCCTTGGAACTCTTCCCAGAAGCCGCACCTCCTCCCTACTACCTTAGGGGCACAAACAAACCACATAAACATAAGGATTCTTTATGATTGTGGTTTGTTGGGCCCCTACTAGTTGAGTTGAGGAGGGAACCCTGAACTACCCTAAACCCTCAGAGTATACTTGCATGTGTTTGTGCCAGCAACTATTATTTTTCGAACGCTCACGCGCAACTGCTCAGTGCATAACACGTATTGTCAGTTCTCTAAGTGATGGCCCCTTTTGGGGTACCCCCGAATAAGAGGGCCGCCTTATGATAAGGACCCCAAAAGGGTCCCAAACCCTCAGCGCTAAACCCTAAACCCGACCCCTATTGACAACTTGAGGTACCCAGAGACTCCAAAACCCCTTAATTAAGGAATATACCTTAAATCATATTAGGGTTCCTATTACAATTTAAGGTATGTTCCTTGTTTTGGGAGTCTCTGGGTCAGAGGTGGTGCCCTTGTGCGTCTCTGTGCGCATTTGTAGTGGCCCCCGACTCCAATACTTAAAGTCTGCAAACCCCCAAAACCCTCTGACCCAGGCTGTACTCATCCCTAAAACCTAAACCCTAAACCCTAAACCCGAAACCCTAAACCCTAAACCCGAAACCTTATAAACCCCAGACCAGGCGCAGTATGACGAGCTGGTGGCTGCAGTGAGGGGTCACCTGGAGTCCCTCCCAGAGACGTGCACTGCGTCCGACTGCCCCCAGGCACATAGGGCTTAGGGTTTACGGTCGTTTCGGGTTTAGGGGTTTAGGATTCTTAGGGTTTTGGGGAGTTTCCCTAGGCCCTATAAACCCTAAAACCCCAGCCCCCTCGATTAATCTAGATTTTGTTGACTGAGCTGAAGGAAATGTTGTTTTATTGGGTTGTGCTTGGTGGTTAAAGGGCTTCAGGGTTTACAAAAGGGTTTGCCTGCCACACTTTTGCAAGTCTCTTTTGTGGCTGATCCTACCTGTGTACCAGATCAATCGATCTTCAGGTGATATATGGGGGGGGTTCCGAAAACAGGGGACCCCTACTGTAGACACCAACTAGTAGGATTCAATTCTCTTATCATGAGGACCCCAATAAGGCACCCCCTAATTTCGGAAACCCCCATATCTGTAAACCCTAAACCCTAAACCCCTAAACCCTAAACCCGAACGGGTGGCCTGCAGGCAGACTGGGCAGGCTGCGTGTTGCGCATGGCCGGGCACGACTTCATGGACTATGCCAACGGCCAGGGGGGCTCCGATGCATGCACGGACGCTACGCTCTGATTTTTGATTTTTTTCCAGGTTTAGGGTTTAGGGTTCAGGATTTAGGGGCGATTTTGCACTGCACTGGTTTTTCCCAGGTTTAGGGTTTGTTTTTAGGGTCTGGGGTCTGGGGTTTCGGGTGATTTTGTGCAATTATGTCTGACACGCCCTGCCTCGTAGCGTTTCGTGAACCGCCAACTACCGTGGCTTCCCCCACAAAACATCTCTCGCTGCAGCCTCCCGCAAGCACAAGCGCCACCAAAAAGCGTTTTCGAGCCCCGGGCCTAAAGAACTCCCCAAAGCCCCACACCCCAACATAGGGCCTGAGCAGGGCTTTAGGGCGGTTAGTATAGTATATTTACAAAGGGACCCTAAGGTTTAGGGTTTAGGGTTTAGGGTTCTCCTATTCCCCCCCTCTACCCTAACCCCCCCTCAGGTGCCCCCCCCCATCATTAAGGCCATTTCGGAAATAAATCAATGCCTCATGAAGGTTCTTTAAGGGGGGAACCCAGGGCGGGTTTGGGAAGCAATGGCTACAGTAGGTATATACGTACCCTAAACCCTAAACCCTGAACCCTGAACCCTAAACCCTAAACCCTAAACCCTAAACCCTAAACCCTAAACCCTAAACCCTAAACCCTAAACCCTGCCGGCCCACAAGGTTGAACCCCAGGATCCTAAGCCCCCAAAACCCTCAAACCCCAAAAGCCTGAAGACCGGAGACTTGGGTGTTCCCCCATATACCAATAGTCCTCAAAAGGGTTTAGGGTTTAGGGTTTAGGGTTTAGGGTTTAGGGTTTAGGGTTTAGGGTTTAGGGTTTAGGGTTTAGGGTTTAGGGTTTAGGGTTTAGGGTTTAGGGTTTAGGGTTTAGAGGATTATAGCAACCTTTATTCTAACCCCATGAAGGACTGTTAGAAAAAGGGTGAACATGCCAACCTAACACCTTAAAACCCTGAGGGTCCATGTGCCTCATTAGTATATACTTGGGCCCAAAAGTCCCTAAGTTGGGGGGCGTTATTCATGGTCCAAGTAGTCCCCTATTTAGGTGCATGCACCCTTAGGAAAGCCTGAAACCCCCTTATACCTAAACCCCAAACCCTACCCTAAACCTTCAGGACATGTCCGACCCTAAACCCTAAACCCTAAACCCTAAACCCTAAACCCTAAACCCTAAACCCTAAACCTTCAGGACATGTCTGACCCAGACAATGCCGGCTTGTCAGCCTGCCTTGCTTCTGGGGAGCACGGCATCTCGCTGGCGCAGGCTGGCGGGTTTAGGGTTTCAGGGTTTGTCAGTCCATTTCATCCTTTAAGATGCCTTCAAGAATTAGAAGCCTCACGCCCTAACATGCCCTAAGCCTTTCAACCCCAAACCCCCAGCTCTTGGGGTCTTCTGAGTTGCAGGTCTACCAGCAGCACCTGGGCTCTTGAGTCATTTTTGATTCTTCAGTGCTTTCTGAGTTACATTTCGAAACGCGCATATAAGGGTGACACCGGCTTTGTTCTGTTGTTATACTTCAAAGCCCAGGTCCCCAAACCCCAACCCCTAAACCCTAAACCCTAAACCCCAAACCCTAAACCCTAAACCCTAAACCCCAAACCCTAAACCCTAAACCCTAAACCCCAAACCCAGGTTCTGCACCTCCGTGTCCTTGGCGGACTTTCTGGTGATTGCGGCCGAGGCGGTGATGATGTCCACGCGGGCGCGACATCAGGCAAGGTCATGGCATGCCAAAGCTCTAGGGTTTAGGGTTTAGGGTTTAGGGTTTAGGGTTTAGGGTTCAGGGTTCAGGGTTCAGGGTTTAGGGTTTAGGCTACGTATATGTGGGGGTTTCCCTATTTTGGGGGAAATACTCATATGAGCCCTAAACTCTCGAACCCCAAAGAATAAACCCTCAACTCCTAAAGCTTACAAGGACCCCTAAACCCTAAACCCTAAACCCTAAACCCTAAACCCTAAACCCTAAACCCTAAACCCTAAACCCTAAACCCCCAATAGGAGTGTGCTTGTGACGCTGCTTCGGGTTCAGGCAGCTACGTCGGCGCCGGCCCGAAATCCTTGTTAAACCTTAAACCTTCAAACCCGAAACCCTGCACCCTAAACCCTAAAACCCGAAACCCCAAAGCCCTAAAGCCCTGTAAACGAAGAAGCAGCTGTGTCATTGCAGCCAACTAAGGAGTAGACCTTACTTGACATAGCAATCCCTCATATGACTTAAATGAGATATACCCTTCATGAAGGGGTATACCTATATGCCCTGCAACCCTCGCTAACGCCCTAAAGCCCTCCCTAAAACCCTGAACCCTGAAGCCCTAAAGCCCTGTAAACAGGCAGCTGTGTCGGCGCCGAGCCTCGACTTGAAATCCTCCTTCCGCTACGGCCGCACCACTGCCCAAACCTGCGGCTTCGCAGAGGGGCGCCTGCCCAACCCCGAACGCGGCTGCGACGCCGTGCAGGCGCGCACTTGTAGGGTTTAGGGTTCAGGGTTTAGGGTTTAGGGTTTAGGGCGTCATAGGGTTTTCGCCCTGTATACATTAAAACGGTATGAATGGAGGGCTTTTCAAAAGTTTATGTGGGTTGTTGAGAGCTTAACCCTATACATATTCCAGTATGGGGCCTTCTTCCCCCAGCCCTACACACTAAACCCTAAACCCGAAACCCGAAACCCTAAACCCTAAACCCTAAACCCGAATTTGAATTCCAGGAGACGTTTCTGGACGGCATGGGCCTCGACTGGACGGAGGCTGCCGCTCTCATGGCCGTTCACACTCTGGGACGCGCACAGGTGAGCAACTCAGGCCGCGGGTTTAGGGTTTAGGGTTTCGGGTTTAGGGTATGAGGGTTTAGGGTTTAGGGGTATGAGGGTTTGGGTTTTGTTGAGGGGTTCCGGGTTTACATGTCTTATAGCGTTTTACCCAGGTTTGCAAGCGTAGTCTTTAGATGTTTCAGGGCCGCCTGAACATCACCAAACGCTGCACCTTGCCACCCGGATACTCGAAAGCCGCAATCCTCAACCCTCCAGTCCTACACCCGCACACCACCCTAAAGCAGGCTACCATGGGTGGTGGAGCGATCCAGAAAACTCCCGGCGGTTCAACAACGACTACTTCGTCTCCTTGCTGGCAAAGGCCGGGATTTGGGGTTTCGGGTTTAGGGGTTTCGGGTTTAGGGTTTAGGGTTTAGGGTTTAGGGTTTGGGGTTTAAGGTTCAGGGCTTAGGGTTTAGGGTTTTGGGGTTTAGGGTTTAGGAACTTCAGCGTGGTGCATATGTTTTCGTTGTTTGTGCCGGTGGACCTCTGCCCAAACCCTGCACCTAAACCTCTAACCTTGCATCCCCAGACACTCTATTTCCGCGAGCATTGAGCGCTAAACACGAACTACCTTGAACCCGAAAACTCAATCCCGAAGCCCTAAAGCCAAAGACACCTGAGACCCTAGACCCTGAACCCTGCACCCTAAACCCTAAACTCTAAACCCAAACCTCTAAACCCTAAACCCTCAACCCTAAACCCTAAACCCTAAACCTTAACCCTAAACCCTATTTGTTAAGGGTTTTGTGTATTGTAGGCGGTAGCAAGTCCGCACTTTTAGGGTTTAGGGTTTAATGCCCGACGGTTAACCCACTTCTTGAAAACCTTGGCTCTGCAACCCCGAACCCTACAACTCTAAACCCAACACCCTACCTGCAACCTTATGGACCCTCAGCCGCCAACACTTTATGAGCCCTAAAAGCCCTAAACTCCTAGACCCCAAACACTTGAGATGTTCCCCCTTCTACTAACAGTCCTCAATAGGTATAGTACCGCCTATTCTAATCCCTACTAAGGACTGTTAGTATAAGGGGAAACATCCCGACCCTCAACCCCTCAGCCCTTCAACCCCTAAACCCTAAATCCTAAACCCTAAATCCTAAACCCTCAACCCTAAACCCTGAACCCTAAACCCTAAACCCTAAACCCTAAACCCTAAACCCTAAACCCTCCATCTACGCAAAAACAGCGGAGGGCTGGGTCCCGGAGCGGTCCATCTCGGGCAACACCGCGAAGAACCAATGGGAGCGCAGCGACATAGGCGCACATGGGGTTTAGGATTCCATAGTGGCGGTAAGTTCAGGGTTTAGGGTTTAGGGTTTTGGGTTTAGGGTCGAAGGTTTAGGGTCTAAGGTTTAGGGTCTAAGGTTTAGGGTTTAGGGTTTGTCTAAGGGTAGTAGGATTCCATAGTGGAGGTAAGTTTAGGGTTTATCCAAGGGTAGTTACATGGTCTCTTAGTATGGGCCCTTAACAGGGTACCTCTTATATACAAATCAAGGTCCCTTACATCAGAACCCTTGAAAAGGAGGTTTGGGACCATATTAAGGGCCCATGAAACTACCCTAAGAGTTTGGGGTTTAGAGTAGAGTTTATGGCTTCCATACTGCAGGGGGTGGGGTGTTGTTTCTGCTTGTTGGTAAAGGCTGTTGGTGCTTCTTTGACGTTGGCATACCCCTTTCCCAGTGGATTTAGAGAGGGCTTGAGGGACAAGGCGAGAGACATGGACAGAGCGGGATGCTCATGCAGTAGACACTAGGATCCAGAGCAGGCCCTTATTCCGACTTGTAGGGTTTAGGGTCCCTTCTAAGCCCCGGTAAACCAAGAAGGGCACCCTGATTATTCCCAGGCTACTCAATTAACTGGGTCTAGGACTCTAAGGGTAGTTGCATGGGCCTTCAGCATGGTCCCTTATCTCCTGTAAAGGGTTCTGAGGTATGGGCCCTTAATCTGTACAGGGTAGAAACGGGGTATAGGCGGGGAATGTCGCGACGAAAGACAAAGCACTTGCCTGGCCCTTCCTTGGGGACTCTTTTGGGTAGTTTTCTAAATTAGGGTCCCTTTTTGGGATCCCCTTTTAAAGGGTGCCGCCTTATAATGGGTACCCAAAAAGGGACCCTAATTTAGGAAACTACCCTTTTAGGGTTTTGGGGTTTAGGGCTTAGGGCTCAGGAGGAGTTAATTAGATTCTTTGTCATAGTCGGGTATCGTTTTTAAGGGTACTTAAACTCAACAAGGAACAGAAATTCAAATTTTCAATACTATCCCAACCATGAACAAGTAATGGTATAGGGTATATGACCCCAATTTATGGGGTTCGTTTGGTTTCCAAGGTTTTGGTTGATAGCGCCACGTACGGAGTAGTTCCAGGTGCCAGAGTTTTTCGATTTGTTTTTGTTTCACGAGCTGTCTGTCAAATGCTGCCCCAAGCCCCAAACCATGTGCAAACTAGCCAAGAACCCTAGCCTAAACCCTAAGCCCTGAGCTCTAAGCCCTGTAGGCCCTAAACCCCAAACCCCAAACCCTAACCCCTAAACCCTAAACCCTAAACCCTAAGCCCTAAACCCTAAACCCTAAAGCCTAAACCCTAAACCCTAAACCCTAACCTGAAGCACCTAAGGGCGCGACACGACCTTCGACGGCCATGAGATGATGCTGAACACCGACGCCGGGTCGGAGTTTTCTTGAGGCCCACGAGGCCCCTAAACCCTAAACCCTAAACCCTAAACCCTAAACCCTAAACCCTAAACCCTAAACCCTAAACCCTACACCCTAAACCCTACACCCTAAACCCTACACCCTAAACCCTAAACCCTAAAACGTAAACCCAAGACCCTAAACCGCATCATGTGTAGGGGGAACCCGAGGCGCTGCAAGTTAAGCAAGGTCTTACAGGGGTCTCACAAGGGTTCAGGGTTTAGGGTTTAGGGTTTAGGGTTTCGGGTTTAGGGTTTAGGGTTTAGGGTTGCAACCTTCCTTTACCAGGCAGGACCTTGGGATGCTTAACAGCCATGGCAATTGGGGCAGAAGGGAATCTTGTTCTTGAGCATTTTGAGCCATGAACCCTACTTGGAGGTTCGGGGTTTAGGGCTTAGGGTTTAGGATTTAGGGTTTAGGGGTACTTATAGAGGCTTTACGTAGACTTATAACTTTGGCTGTAAGTACCCATGAACCTCCAAGTAAACCCTAGACCCTGAGCCCCAACCATTAGCTTTTGTTTTCAAGAGGGGTAGAGTGGCCCATCTAGTTTGGGGGCTTCTAGGTTTTCTTGGGTCACAAAGCCCGCAACAGTCAGGTCAGGGGACTTGTACGCAGGACTTCTACGGCCCTAAACTCTATAAATCCTATAAATAGCTCTATAAGCTTATAAGACCCATAAACCCTAAACTTCCCTCCGCCCGAGAGCCCCGCAGTGGAGCCCAAGGAATTAACCCTAAACCCTAAACCCTAAACCCTAAACCTAGTTAAACCCTCAACCCTAAAACCCTAAACCCTAAACCCTAAACCCTAAACCCTAAACCCTAAACCCTAAACCCTAAACCCTAAACCCTAAACCCTAAACCCAAGGACATGTGCCTCGTGTATCGCGAGACTGGCCCGAATGGTGGCCCTGTTCTGGCCGACCAACACACTTGCTCCTTGCGGATCTACTTTAGGGTTTAGGGTTTAGGATTTGGGGGTTAGGGTTCAGGGTTTAGGGCCAAAGATGAACTTTAAACTTTTTGGGAATGATAGCCTTGACTTCTTAACCTAATTCTATGTTTTTGGTTATATAGAGCCCCTTCGACACCAGGTCTCTGCCATCTTCGGGGGGGTGGGGTTCAGTCCAAATTAGTGAAATACTGCCCGCGGCAGAGCCTGAGGGTTTCAGCTTTCCTGAGCCCGTTAACCCTTACAGAACCCTCAACCCTTGCAGCCCAAAACCCTAGCCCCTAAACGGCCCTCTAAACCCCAAACCCTAAACACTACTTTGTGGTACTTGAACTGTAACTTTAGATCCTTACCTTTTTGGGGGTTTATTGGGTTTCTTATGAAGGCAGATAAAAGTTTAATTTACAGCTACCCTCCTGAGTGCCGCCAAGACTAAGCCAGGCTGTGCTTGGCTGGCTTCCCCAGAAATCCGGGGTGCCGTGGCGAGCAACGGCGGCGAGTACTGCGGTGGTGCGCCCGGGCCGGATCCCCGTCAGGAGCGCCAGAAGCAACTGGGACTTCGAATCGGGGTTGAGGGTTTAGGGTTTGGGGTTTGGGGCTTAGGGTTTAGGGTTTTTGGTTTGGGGCTATCCTACTCTTTGATTAAGAACCCCCCCAAAACAAAACATGACGCAACAATCCCTATACTGCCCTGATAAGGAAGTTGTTTTTGTTTTTTTCCTTTTTCGCCCGGGGGGGGGGTCTTAACATATAGAAGGGTAGCGTTGAGGGTTGTAGTTGTAGGGTTTAGGGTTGAACGTAGGAGGGTTTAGGGTTGAGGGTAAGTAGTCGTAGGGTTTAGGGTAGTAGGGCAGTAGGGTTGAGAGTTGGGAGGGTTGAGAGCACGTAGTAGGGTTTTAAGGGTTTAGCGCTTGGGCTTTTGAGTGACTGGAGCCTAAGCCCAAGTGAAAGCCTAAGTGATTCTCCAAGCTTATCCCCACAAAACCTCCGTATGAATTTCAGAAACCCTAAACCCTAAACCCTAAACCGCGGAGCTCACCCAGCTCCTTGGACAATGTCGGGCCTCTTCTCCTTGAGGGCTATACGGGACAACAAGGGCCCTGAGACCTGACCTAGCACAAAGCCTTGTAGGAAAGCAGTTCTTGTGCACAGCTCTCTTTTTCTGCTTAATCAAAACTTGACCCTTTCTAGCTTCTTCGAAAGAAAGCGACATCAGAGGGTTAAGACGGTTGAAAACCTTCCCGAGCCTCTTGAAAACCTCTTGTGGACTTAGACCTCCACAAGCTTCTTGGCAAGGAATTTGTTTTACCTATATGATAGCCTATATGAAGGACCCAGGCACCTCAACAAGCCTCTTGGCAAGGAATTTATTCTACCTATATGAAGGGCCGAGAAACCTCCGCAAGCCTCTTGACAAGGAATTTGTTCTAACTATATGAAGGGCCCAGGCACCTCAACAAGCCTCTTGGCAAGGAATTTGTTCTACCTATATGAAGGGCCCAGAGACCTCCGCAAGCCTCTTGGCAAGGAATTTGTTCTACCTAGAGGAAGGGCCCAGAGACCTCCGCAAGCCTCTTGGCAAAGAATTTGTTCTACCTATATGAAGGCCTAGACACCTCCACAAGCCTCTTGGCAAGGAATTTGTTCTACCTTTATGAAGGGCCCAGAACCTCCACAATTCTCATGCCTCCAGCTGATATGCTTATCCTCAACCTGAATAAAGGGGAAGTACATGCATCGTAGAAGCAAACATGTGCCGTCAGCCCTTTCGCTCCAAGCTATCTTTCAGTTTGCTGGGGGGAAGTTGATCATGGTCTTCGACCCAAGGCAAGACAACAATCATTCCACAATTGTTGGAACAGTTCACGACTTCTTCTGCGCAGGAAAGGAACGATCAAGACGAGTTCCAAAAAGCAGGCGCAAACATGACTCACAGCATGAGCCGTGTAATACAGTCCCAGTGATCAGGCCACAAGAAAGCTCCACTTGCTGCACGCGGAGTTCAGTGGCACAGAGCCTTGGCGAGTCATCCAGCTTGCCACCTCCTCAGATTCTGTCTTAGCAACGCCCTTCAACATCAACAATGCAAGATAACTTAAGCATGCTGGCACTGAAGACAGCCAAGCCCTCCGAGACCGCGCACAAAGAACTACTGCGCGAGAACGAGAGGCGCGTTTCCCATGTATGCCAGACTCCACTTCCATTCAATCTTGACCGCATTGAGGGGGAAATTAAAGAAGCTGCGAAGTACCGTTTGAAGCTCATTCTCCATTTCTGCTCAAAGAAGTCATATCACACATTCAGCCAACTCAGGCAAAACGTGAGCTGGCAAGACCTACAAATTTAAGACCTCCAGCAGCGTGTGCGCAGGCAGAGGACAATAACTTGCAGCGGTGCGTGCGCAAACATAACAATAACGGATGTGTTATGCAACCAGATGCAAGAAGTCCATCTACAAACCTTCAGCAGTAGCGACTCTCGGCCTCCAATTCTTTAAGATATCCTAGATCTTTCATAGAATTATATTTGAGGTTTTCATAGATATCTAGAATCAATTGCAACTAAAAGAAAATACTCATAAAGCATAATTATGCTTCGTGATGATTCAGGAAATCATTGAAAATCTTTAAACTTCTAAAATATCGAGGGAATGAATTGAAATCCTCATCTAGATTCTTTGGTATATCCTAGATTCATGGAATCCTTGAAGATCTCGGAGTGTCCGAAATAATTGAAATTGGATAATATGAGTTTAAATTATTCGTCCAATTGTTGATTTGGCAATGATTTTTTAATATCTAGAACCAATTGAAAACCAAAAAGAATACAATTTGAAGTTTATGTTTGATTTCGTCATGATTCAAGGAATCCTCAAAATTCTCGCAATTTAGAAAGCTTGAAAAAACGAGAACATGAATTGAAATCTTCATCTAAATTTTGATTGGGTAATGCTTCTTTGGTATATCCTAGAATCAGGGAGTCCTTGAAAACCTCGGAGTTTCCGAAATAATTGAAATTGGATAATATGAATTTGAAATCCTGAGCCAATTCTTGAACCAATTTTTGATTTGGCAATAGTTCTTGAATATTTCCTAGATCTTTCATAGAATTATATTTGAGATTTTCATAAATTTCTAGAGTCAATTTTGAAAACCAAAAGAATATAATTTTCAAGTATCATTATGATTTCGTTATGATTCAAGGAATCATTATAATTCTCGTAATTGGGAAAGCTTGAAAAATCGAGAAATGAATTGCAATCTTCATCTAAATTTTGATTGGGTAATGATTCTTTGGCATAATATCCTAGATTCAGGGAATCTTTGAAAACCTCGCAATTTCCGAAATAATTGAAATTGGACAATATTGATTTGAAGCCCTCAGCCAAGTTTAGACTTGGCAATACTTCTTTAAGATATCCTAGATCTTTCATAGAATTATATTTGAGGTTTTCATAGATATCTAGAATCAATTGAAAACTAACAGAAAATATTTATAAAGCATAATTATGCCTGCGTGATGATTCAGGAAATCATTGAACATCTCGCAATTTTTAGACTTCTAAAATATCGAGGGAATGAACTGAAATCCTCATCTAATTTTGAATTGGACAATGGTTCTTTGAAATATCCTGGATTCAGGGAATCCTTGAAAATCTCGGAGTGTCCGAAAGAATTGAAATAGGATAATGCGAATTTAAATTATTCGTCCAATTGTTGATTTGGCAATGATTCTTGAATATATCCTAGATCTTTCATAGGAATTATATTTGAGGTTTTCACAGATATCTAGAATCAATTGAAAACCAAAAGAATTTATTTGAAATTTATGTTTGATTTCGTCATGATTCAAGGAATCATTAAAATTCTCGCAATTTAGACAGCTTGAACAAAACGAGAACATGAATTGAGATCTTCATCTAAATTTTGATTGGATAATGCTTCTTTGGTATATCCTAGAATCAGGGAGTCTTTGAAAACCTCGGAGTTTCCGAAATTATTGAAATTGAATAATCTGAATATAACTTGGGTTGAAGGGTTCAGGGTTTAGGGTTTAGGGTGTTCCCCTTATCCTGAATAGGGATTGCAGTACCCCCCCCCCCCCCCCCCTTACTAGAGGGGGAACATCCCAACCTATACCTGCGTTGGTGTTAAGGAGCTCAAATTGCCTCATCGCGATGAGTGAATAGTACCATATGTCTTTTTGTTAGGGTATACTGAGCTTAAAGTTCCGTAGCAGCAAAAACCCAGCTATCCCTGCAGAACCCGAAGCCCTAAGCAAAAGGTGCTGTGGTCCGCAGCAGGGGGACTGTGGCGATGAGCGGAACCCAACTGGGCCAGCACAACAGGCTGTGAACAGAAGGGATTTGGTTTTTAGGGGGTTTCGGGTTTTGCGGTTTAGGGTTTAGGGTATGGGGTTTAGATAAGGTTCAGACTGCTTGGGCTTATGAGCTCAGGGTTTGCTTCAACTCCTCACTTTGTAAAGGCTAAAGGTTTCACCTCAAGAGAAGGAACTCTCACCCCTAAATCAGTACATCTAACCTATCTCGGTGTATGTCTGGGCTTTGGAGTACTATACTTTAATGCATTTTTTGGTTCTGGGTTCCTACTTAAAAGTATATACTTTCTTTCAGGGTCTACTCCACAAGTAGGTTTATGTGCTCAAGGACTCAGGACCACAGGGCCAATGAGAGTCAGACTCGGGGGTTCCCCTTCAGAGGCCTTCGTGCACTAAACCCTCAACCCTCAGCCCCAAGCCCTAAACCCAACACCAGCTCGAGCGCGCATTAGGGTTCAGGGTTCAGGGTTTAGGGTCGGTGCAGGCGGTGCGGAACTTCGCAACCGACGAAGCTGTTTGGCTGGAAGCCTTCGTGCGCGCGTGGACGAAGGCGGTCGCCGCTGGGCTGCAGTGGGATCGCGGTTCCAGCCTAACACCCTCAACCCTCAACCCTAAACCCTACACCCTAAACCCTAAGCCCTAAACCCTAAACCCTAGACCCTAGACCCTAAACCCTAAACCCTAAACCCTAAACCTTAAACCCTAAACCCTAAACCCTAAACCCTAAACCCTAAACCCTAACCCTGAACCCTAGACCCAACAAGGGAGAAGGGTTTCGGGCTTCTAGCTCTCATGCCACTCCAATGCCGAAACCCAAGGCCCCCAGTCGTCGGGGCAAGTTGAAACGGGTTTTGAAAACGAGGGTGTGGGCTTTAGGGTTCACTGTGTAGGGTTTCCAATGATTCGTGTTTTTTTGTTTTTTGTTTTTTCTTGGGGGGGCGGGCGTAGGGGGGGGGGCCTTGTTATGGGGTCTTACTATAATACAACGTGGGAAAGGATAGTATAACGGTCCCTTCATTAAAGGCCCCGTACTCATGGCCAATGTAGTGGAGGAGCCTAGAACAGTTCAGTGCGGGCCGGAGCCAAGAAATCTTAAGTTAGTTGCATGGTGCCTGAATATGGGCGAACCCTCTTCTACTCCTTATGTACCCTATACAACCCAAGGGCCCATACTTCGGACTCCTTTACACAGGAGGTAAGGGGCCAGGCTAGGGGACCATGAAACTACCCTTAGATATAAACCCTCTACAGCGCTGCAAACCCCATAAACCCTACAAACCCTGAAATCCCGAAATAAACCCCCCAAACCCTAGAAACTCTCAACACCCAAATTTTGCCCTAAACCCTAAACCCTAAACGCTAAACGCTAAACCCTAAACCCCAAACCCTTGCTAAACCCTATAGAGCAGGAAAATGGCCACACCGGCCTCAAGAGCCTTGGCCAATGCCCGACGACGTCCACCACCAGCTCGATGCCTTCGAGTTCCAGCTCCTTAGTAGCTGAACGAGTACACTTTACATTTTTTTGGGCTTAGGGTTTAGGGTTTGGGGTTTGGGGTTTAGGGTTTAGGGTTTGGGGTTTAGGGTTTAGGGTTCTCAAAAGAATTGAAAGTGTACACTGTTTGGGGGCTGATGAACTCGGCAACTAAGGCTCCAGTTCCAGCCCAGGCGAGCGTTTTAGGGTCGATAGGGTTTAGGGTTTAGGGTTTAGGGTTTAGGGTTAGGGTTTAGGGTTTAGGGTTTAGGAGGAAAGGAGCGCCCAGAGCAACCGATGGAGAGCGTACCTTACGTATAATATACTGGGGTCCTAGAGCTGCCTTTCTAGGAAGCCCTTGAAGGCCTCAGCACCCAGATCTTCCAAAACCCCCTTAATCAAGGAATATACCTAAGTTATACTAAGGTTCCTCATTATGAAGCTTAGTGAGTACACTTTACACTTCTTGGGGTACCATAATCCCCTATAGAACTGCAGGTATAAACTTTTTGGGGGCTTATAAGAACTCAGCAACTGAGACTATACAGCGTTTAGAGAGGACCTGGGACTGAGCGTGCGGAATGTCCTGGCAACCCCCAAGTCTCTTGGAATTCCTACCTAAGCCCTAAACCCTAAACCCTAAACCCTGAGCCCTAAACCCTAAACCCTAAACCTTGAACCCTAAGCCCTGAACCCTAAACCTTGAACCCTAAGCCCTAAACCTGGGCCTCTGCTGGGCCATCTTCCAGGGGCTCTTCTGGGGCCTCGGGGGTTGTTTTTTTGAAAGGTCATATAAGGGTTCAGGGACCCTCAACCCTAAACCCTAAACCCTAAACCCTAAACCCTAAACCCGGAGAGGCTCCTCCAGCACCAGCTCAGCGGGCGCGTCGAGCTCCACGGAGGCCGCTGAAACCCTAAACAGGGTTTAGGGTTTAGGGTTTAGGGTTTAGGGTTTAGGGTTGAGAATTTCGAGGTTTATGCCTATCCCCAAGCCCCCCTAAACACCCTCAAACGAAACCATGAGCTCCCTAAACCCCAAACCCCAAACCCTAAAGCCTAGCCCCTAAGCCCTAAACGCAACCCTTCAATCTCCCCTCAAGCCCGGAAAAAGAAGCCCAGTGGTACCCTTGTGCCTTTTTGTTGTTTCCAAGTTGCCTTGTGAAGCAACCAACCCCAACCCCCCCCCCCCCTATCGCCCCCCCCCCAAAAAAACAAGTGCTCTCATTGCCGTGTGGTTACTGGGCTGCCAAGAGAACAGACCCACGGAAACACAAAGAAAGCAAAACCCTAAACAGCCCTAAACCCTACACCGTTAACGTGACCCGAAGCCGTACATGCCCTGAACACCAGGCCCTTAACCCTAGAACCCTTAACCCTTTCAAAAACATGTTGACCTTCATTCTCGAAGCTTGCACCCTTGTAAACCCCAAACCCTCAACTGCAACCCCTAAAACCCTGAGCCGTAGCATACCCAAAACCCTTAAAACCCTTAATGCCCTTAACCCTAACCCTACACCCTTAAAGCTCTGAAACCCTAGACGCCAAGTCTTTAGTCGCTCATCTCCAGAATCATTATCTTGGAGCTTTCACTTGCGCTTGGGTCTTAAACCCGAAAAAACCTAGACGCCCTAAAACTGGAGGTTTACGAAAATCTACAAATTGCTTAAGAACCCCCCCCCCAAAAAAAAACCATAATATTCTTCCTTGTTAAGGGTAATATAGGGATTACTATGTTTTTATTTGTTGGGGGTTCTTAACAAATAGTAGAAATAAGGGACCCTTAATGTAGATCCCCAAAATAGTAGGACTCCCTTAGAATAAGGACCCCCACTAAGGTAAACCTAAAACAAAAACCCCTAAGTCACTAAACCCTAAACCTAGGCCCGATTAGGGTTTACGGTTTAGAGTTTAGGATTCTAGCTTTGGAACAGACAAAGCAGGAGCTTGCTTCCGAGTGCATCGTGCCCGCGGCTTCACCCCCCCATGCTCAAAGCCATGCTCAAAGGAGTGGTTGTAAAATGATGAGCCTCACAAGAAGTTCATGTCAGAGAAGGCCAGACGAGCGCAGCACAACCATGTCATCATCCACATGAGGTTTAGGGTTTAGGGTTTAGAGTTTAGGGTTGCAGGTTTGCAACCATGTCATCCACATAGCAGGTTTTGCGCGCCGAGGGGTGCAAACAGGCCTTGGACCGGGAAGTTCTCTTAGACGCATGAGTTGGGCGGTTCGCACCGCCGTCACTTCACTTCGTCGACTTCTAGCCATGTGGCCTCCGAAATTCGTTGCCCTAAGCCCTAAGCCCTAAACCCTCAACCCTAACCCCTAAACCCTAAATAAACCCTAAGCGCTCCTAAGCCCCTTTTGAACGCCTTGAACTCCCAACCACTCACGCCCTTTCAAAAACTCAGATCTTCCCAAGCCCCAAAATGAACCCTGAACAAGCACTACATGATCCTAGAAAATTCTAAGCAAACCCTACATCTCCACTACATATCTCAAGCCCTATAGACCCCAAACCCGAACCCTAAACCTACACCCTAAACCCTGAACCTAAACCCTATACCCAAGCCCTACTAAATGTCCCTGATCTGCTTAGGCCGCGTCGTCGCCGAGCAGCACCTCCGACGCAGGGTCGAGCAGCACCTCCGACAGCACCTCCGGTCCAGGGTCGAGCAGCACCTCCGATCCAGGGTCGAGCAGCACCTCCGGTCCAGGGTCGAGCAGCACCTCCGGTCCAGGGTCGAGCAGCACCTCCGGTCAAGGGTCGAGCAGCACCTCCGACAGCACCTCCGGTCCAGGGTCGAGCAGCACCTCCGGTCCAGGGTCGAGCAGCACCTCCGGTCCAGGGTCGAGCAGCACCTCTGATTCCAATAAGGTTTAGTTTAGGGTTTAGGGCTTGGGGCTTAGGGCTTCGGGCTTAGGGTTAGGGTTTAGGGTTTAGGGTTTAGGGTTAGGGTTTAGGGTTCAGGGTTCAGGGTTTAGGGTTTAGGGCTCAGGGTTTAGGGTTCAGTAGCCCAGGCCCGAGCAGCACCTCCAACTCCGAGACGCAGACTCCTGACCTGACGAGCTCCTCCGGCCACCTTGGCGCAGTTTGGTTTGGGGTTTAGGGTTTAGGCTTTAGGGTTTGGGGTTTAGGCTTTAGGGTTTGGGGTTTAGGGTTTTGGGTTTAAGGGTTTAGGGGTTTAGGGGTTTAGGGGTTTAGGGGTTTAGGGGTTTAGGGTGTTTAGGGGTTTAGGGGTTTAGGGGTTTAGGGGTTTAGGGGTTTAGGGGTTTAGGGGTTTACGGGTTTAGGGGTTTAGGGGTTTAGGGTTTAGGGCCACCACCCAAACCCGAATCGTATTTCCTAGACCCGAAACACTTCAGTATTGCATTCAGATCCCTTAACCCCTAAGCGCCAAACCCTAAACCCTAAACCCTAAACCCTAAACCCTAAACCCTAAACCCTAAACTCTAAACCCTAAACCCTAAACCCTAAACCCTAAACCCTAAACCCTAAACCCTAAACCCTAAACCCTAAACCCTAAACCCTAAACCCCACCCCGTGTTCTTTCTAAGCCCTCTGAAGCTGCCGTGCAATTTTCTGGGTTTGGACTGCAAACGGTGACATGTTTCGGTATTCGGGTTTAGGGTTTAGGGTTTAGGGCTTAGGGTTTTGGGCCCTAAGCCGGCGCGGTGAAGCGCAGGGGCTTTGACAACCCATCCTGAGCCTTGAACGCTGAATCTACTTCAGCGACTTCTGAGCCCTCTCTATACCCTAAACATCCCTTCAAAGCCCTACACATCCCAGAACCCAGAAGCCATATACATATGTATGTATGTATGTATGTATGTATGTATGTATGTATGTATGTATGTATGTATGTATGTATATGCACATGCATTGAGTTAGGCAGGCCTTGGGTGTGCATGTTTCATTTTGAGGATGCAATGTACCGGCTTGCTACATTTTGGCTTAAGACTTGGCTGGAGCCAAACTGGCAAGCTGGAACATTTCTTAATGGCATCAGTCGCACTCCTTCTCCACTAGTTTAGCTTTCTTCCCATTTCAGCTCTGGGCGTTACCGCTGGAAGCAGCTATCCAGGTGTTCGAGTACTTGTAGTGAAGTGCATTGGGGTGAGTGCTTTGGGAGCGTGAGGGTCACCTGAAGGAATCAGGCGTTTCTGACCCGGCTACCGTGGGACCCGGAAGCGGTCCGGATGTTACCAATGCAATTACCTCCTGTGTGTCAGGAGCTGTTCACTAGAACTCAGACTCGGAATCGCCCACAGTTGTGAAGAGAAGAAAATACGGAGTGGATGCGAAGTGCTCGTATTGAGTATATGCTCCTTCGGAATGTATATACATCTATCAGCCTTAAGCACCTCTACAACTCTTGTAAACTTCTATAAACCCATACGAGGCACAAGCGTAATGCAACGCACACGAACATAAGTTAAGCATGTCTTTCGCAGGTAAGCCAAGAACAAGAATCCCAATAAACATGTAAGCCCTGAACCCTAAGCCCTAAGCCCTAAACCCTAAACCCTAAACCTCCAAGCACCGAGGTTGTGCGACCTGGGATTTCGCAGGGCCGCGCCTGATCTTGATCTGTAGCCTCGGCATGCTCAGACGTTTGCTGTAGGTTTTTCGGTCCCCCCCCCCCCAAAAAAAAAAGTTGCAGCCAATCTTGCTGTGGCAAGCCACTGGCATGGTACTACCAAACCGCACAAACTTCTAAGCCAAAAAGCCCTAAACCCTACACCCGAAGCCCTAAACCCCAAACCCCAACCCTCGGGCAAGTTAGGGTGAGGCCAAATGAGCAGCAACGAAGTGCTTCCCCCCCGACTTGTTTCTGCACAGGTAACTCAGAAGCATGGTATCCTAAACCCCTACCCTAATTCCTCAACCCTTCAATCGTTAGGCTCGAAGTTGCTGGGTTTAGGGTTTCAGTTTTTTGGGTTTCAGTTTTTTGGGTTTCAGTTTTTTGGGGGTTTGGGCTATAGCCCTGAACCCTAAGCCCTAAACTATAAACCATCAACACGGGCTCTTAACAAGGAGTTGCGGTAGATTTCCGTGCCGGCGGCTGTCAGGGGACTTCTGTGCGCGAGGCTGAGATCCTTGCGTCTTAGGCCCCCTGGCAAGGTTCTTCATCTGATGCCGGAGGGTCCCTAAGCCTCAGTTTAGGGTTTAGGCTTTAGGGTTTAGGTTTTGGGGCTATAACCCTTTTAGGGTCTGAGGGCTTCAGGTTCTTCAAGGGCAGAACGCTAGGTCCTAAACTCCAAACGCAGGTGGCCGGGCTCCTCCGGATTAAGTTAAGGGAAGGCCCTTGGGATGTCTTTTATGCTTTCTGTTATCCGAGAAATTTAGGGTTTAGGGTTTAGGGAGAGGATCTTACTCAGGAATTATCTTCTCAGGGTTTACAAGGGCCAACCTACCCATCTTGCTTTTGCAAGTCTTTGTTTTCAAGTTTTGTTTCCCCAGTTTTGCCACAGCGCTCCAAAACCTCCCGCGGTGTAAGCCCTTGAGGAGGCGCTGGAGCCCCAGAAAGCTTCTGGGATTCCCAAAGTAGGGGGTGCCCCTGTTTTTTGGGGGGGGGGGGGGGGGGGGGGGGGGGGTTTTCTGATAGTCATGAAGGGTCAGATACCCTAAACCCTAAACCCTAAACCCTAAACCCTAAACCCTAAACCCTAAACCCTAAACCCTAAACCCTAAACCCTAAACCCTAAGCCCCGAAACTCCCTAATTTGGGGAATGCGCTCGTTTCCACGGATTTTGCGACCTTGCAGCCGTCAAGCTCGCCGGGTGTGACGTCCTCAGGGCCTAAGCCCTGAGGTGCACGACGACCCTTTGAGGGAAGGGCCAGCGAAAAGCTGCTCACGTGAAGAGATGGCTCATGGGCGGGGAAGAAAGTGCGAGGAGCAAGAACTCCCCAAGCCCTAAGCCCTAAGCCCTGATTGATCCCCCAAACCATAAACCGTAAATCCTAAACCCTGAACCTGTGATGAAACACCCTCATACCTCAACCCTCACACCCCAGATCACCTTAAACCCTAAACCCAACCCTGGAGCCGTTTAATCTAGGGGCCTTAAGAAATTGAATTTATATATATATATATATATATTTTTTTTTTGTTTGGGGGGGGGGGAGGGGGGTTATTATGGTTTTCCTACAAAGGCACCACATGGGAAGACTATTAGTACTTGTTCCGATCCCTTGGGGTTGCTTCAATGCCCAGAAAGCTTAACCCTCAGCTCCCCTTAACTTTAAACCTTAAAACCGAACTCTAAACCCTAAACCCTAAACCCTAAACCCTCAACCCTCAACCTCTCTATCATAATGAATTTAAACCCTAAATCAAAAGTGGGCAACGGTGATTTTCGGCCTCAAAAGTGGGCAATGGTGATTTTCCTTTTCCCTGAGTTTTTTCAAGGTTTTTCAAGGTTTTTCACTGTTTTTCAGGATATTTCAGGGTTTTAACCCTCAATTCTGATGACGGACCGCCCCCGCGACCTTTTCACAGCCAAGTTTTGGTCAAGGGGGGGTCGTGTTTTTCAAATTTAAAAAGGCAAAATAGTCTTGGAGACCCCTCAAACTCCGACCCCCCCTTGATAGGGAAAGTTTGCCTCCAAAAACACCCCAAATGAGGGGACCCCAGGATTGGCCCGGGTCCCAGTTAAAAATGCGATTTTTTAGTACTGAAATCGACGGTTTTGGGTCGGCTCTCGTTTTCTGGATTTTTGACCAAACCGAGCCTTCACCGGTTACGGAATTTCAAGTTTTTCAAGGTTTTTCAAGGTTTTTCAGATTTTTTCAGTGTTTTTAAGGTTTTTCAATGTTTTTCCGGGTGTTTCACGGTTTTTTTCCTTCAGTTCTGATGAAGGACTGCCCCCGCGACCTTTTCGCAGCCTAGTTTTGGTCAAGGGGGGGTCGTATTTTTCAATTTGAAAGGCAAAATAGTCTTCGGAGACCCCTCAAACTCCGACCCCCCCTGATAGGGAAAGTTTGCCTCCAAAAACACCCCAAATGAGGGGGACCCCAGGATTGGCCCGGGTCCCAGTTAAAAATGCGATTTTTTAGTACTGAAATCGACGGTTCTGGTGGGCTCTCGTTTTCTGTATTTTTAACCAAAACCGAGCCTTCACCGATAGGGGCTTCTAACAGTAGGGTTTAGGGCCCTAAGAGCATAAAGGGCCTATTGTGGGCCTTAGATTTGATTTCGGGTTTTGGGTCCGTTAAAAACTAAAATATTTTTCCAATGTTATGGGATCCAAAGGGTGGGTGGGTATATATTCGTTATCAGAGTAGCGAGCTTGACTAGAGAATGCTTGAACTGAAGATGCTGAACCCTAAACCCTAAACCCTAAACCCTAAACCCTAAACCCTAAGCCCTAAGCCCTAAGCCCTAAGAGCAAGCCCTAAGCCCTAAGCCCTAAACCCTAAACCCTAAACCGTAAACCGAACCCTAAACCCTCAACCCTGAAGCCTCGCAGGACTGGTACACCGCCAACATGAGCCCGGCCACTGCCGGCCTCGCCACCTCACTCTTCCGACGCGACTTCGCCGCCGTTGAGGGGTTTGGGGTTTATGGTTTGGGGTTTAGGGTTCGGGGTTTCGGGTTTGGGGTTTAGGGTTTGGGGTTTAGGGTTTGGGGTTTTGGGTTTGGGGTTTTAGGGTTTGGGGTTTACTATAAACTTTCTCAACCTAAAGCCCTGAGCCCTGAGCCCTTCTCAAACCCTATAAACCCTAAACCCTAAACCCCCTCAAACCCCATAAACCCTAAAAAACCCTAAACCCTAAACCCTAAACCCTAAACCCTACCAACCCTTAAGACACGGAGCAAGCCAGCAAAGTCATAGGCCTCGGCTTGACGCAGTCCTCCCCATCGGAGCCCCGGCCTCTGCTTTCGGGTTTTAGGGTTTAGGGTTTAGGGTTTAGGGTTTAGGGTTTCGGGTTTGGGGTTTAGGGTTTAGGGTTTAGGGTTTGGGGTTTGGGGTTTAGGGTTTGGGGTTTGGGGTTTGGGGTTTAGGGTTTAGGGTTGAGAGGTGGGGGGGGGGGGGGGGTGGGATTCTGAAGGAAGTGGGAGTCAGAGGTTGAGGGTTTGAAGTACAAGGGCTTAGGGGATCTAACCAACCCAAAAAAAGGTTGCCTTCAGTGTAGTATGGTTACTAGGCTACCAAGTATTCCCTTTTTGCGGGGGTTCAGTTTCCCTTATGAGCCTCTTTAAACCAAAAGGGCTGAAGGTTCGGTTTGGAGTTGTTGGGGTTGCTGGGGTTAGGGTTTTTTCGGGGTGCTGTGTCTCGATGACTCGCCCGCCCTAAACCCTAAACCCTGAACCCTGGAAAACTCTGTTCGTTCTTGGATGGGTGGAGGGGCTCTGCCGTCCCTAGAGCCTGAGAGGTGCCTGGCTTCGTGATGCCCCTTTTTTGGAGGTTTGGGGTTTAGGGTTCCGGGTTTAGGGTTTAGGGTTTGGGTTTAGGGTTTAGGGGTCCTTGAAGGGGATTGTATTCTGTTTGCAGGTATAGAAGGGTCATCCCTAATTCAGGGAAATACCCCCTATTGTCCCAGAACAGCCACGGCTGTATGCTTTGGAGTGTGCGCGTTGGGGCCTAAAGCCCCTAAACCATCCTTTGAATTTCAATTCTGTGAATGCTTGACGTGTTCGTGTATGCGCCCCTTTCTCCCCGGTACTTTAGCCCCCCTTTCCACACCCCCCCTCCCCCCCCCCCCCCCCCCCCCCCCCCCCCCCAAACCCTAAACCCTAAACCTTAAACCCTAAACCCTAGGGTTAAACCCTAAATCCTAACCCCCAGGTGGAAGACTCAGCCTAGCATGGTTACTGGGGAATTGGGGTGTAGAGCTTAGAGGATCTTTAGAACTTGAGCAATGATACACAGCCAGAAGCCCTAAACCCCAACAACTAAACCCGAAACCCGAGACCCGAAACCCGAAACCCTACACCCTAAACCCTAAACCCTAAACCCTAAACCCTAAACCCACCCCCTCCCCTTCTGAGGTCCCTGAGCGTCCTGGAAACCCATTGTGGGGACGCCCTGGCAGCCAGCGAGATGCTACCGCTGCCCTGTGCCCTTGACAAATTGCCTGGGTGCAGCGGGGCTCTCCGGCTTCGGGGGTTTCGGTTTAGGGTTTAGTTAGGGTTTAGGGTTTAGGGTTTAGGGTTTAGGGTTTAGGGTTTAGGGTTTAGGGTTTAGGGTTTAGGGTTTAGGGTTTAGGGTTTAGGGTTTAGGGTTTAGGTTCTAGGGTTTAGGGTTTAGGGTTTCTTTCTGGGCTTAGGTTTCAGGGTTTACGGGTACGGGTTGGGGTTCACAGGTTTAGGGTTTAGGTATGTTTGCGTCTGTTGGATGCGGGTTTACAGAGCTTCTCCGTTTCCTTGATCTAACTCTCTCCCCCACCACCCGATGTTGCTGACTCTTCTCCCGATGTCAAGAAGGAGGACCCACCACCCGGAACGTTTTCATCAGCCCACCCCTCCACTGCTCCCTCCCGCCCCATCCCACCAGTCCCCTCCCATCCAAAACCCCAAAACCAGAGGCTTGGCACTCTAAAATCCACGAGGCCTTCCGCATAATGCAACCACCTATCACCGGCATGAATCTGATGAAGCTTCAGAAGCCTGTAAAAAC